GGGGTGAGCGAGGAGCCCATGGGGGGGGTGAGCGAGGGGCCGATGAGGGAGGGGCCGATGAGCGAGTGCTGCCCGAGTGAATGAAGGAGTGACTGAGGTGGAGCCGAGACAGGCCAGGTGTCACCGCCCCACTGGCAGAGATGGCTGCATCCCAACTCCGTGTGCCCCCTGGAGTTGGACCCTGTGTGCTGCCGGCCGCGCTCATGCTCTGTGAAAGAAGCAGTATGGGCAGGAGGCCCTTCAGGAGCTCGTGGAGCCCACGGTTGGAATCCGTACCCTCCTCGGGAGTGGCGCTCGCTGCTGGGGTCAAGATGGTGGGCGCTGGTGCTCCAGCCTCTGACGCCCCTCCAGCTGCCCCAGTCCACGGCACCTGCGTCTCCACTGGGGCCCCTGGGTACCCGGAGGGGTGGAGCAGGTGGGGACCAAAGGGACCACTCTGTGCCTGCAGGGCTGTCGCCGCAGAGCTCCTTTCCATGGTGCTCCGTGACCAGGGGCAGCGGTGGCCTCTGCAGAGGCTGAGCTCGCTCCTGGGCAGGGGCCCCTGAGAGCCTGGGTCTATCTGATGGGTGGCGAATATCGTGTCATGCTGGCAGGGACGTGTGGGCAGGCAAGTGGGACCGGATCCCAAAATGCGTGACCTCCGGGACATCCTGCCCAGTGGGAGGCCGAGGTCCAGTGCAGCTCCTGGCAGGTGGTGGCTTCCAGTCACACGTGGTTCAGGGAAGGCCGGGCAGGAAGTCACAAGGCATCGGGACGGCCACCTAGCTACCACCATCCACACACTCCGCCAAGGCTGGCCCTAAACAGAAGGGCTGGAGGGGCGCTGGCAGTGAGGATGGGCACGTCCCAGTGGCCTGGAGCCGCCCCTTGCGTGGCATCCACCTCTGTCCCTTAGGCCTGGGGGGCCTGGCCCGGGCGGCCTCACTGGCTCCTGGAGTCTCCTGTGGACTCTGCCAGGCCCCAGTGTCACCCACCATTATGGTCTCTGCTCCTCCAAAGGAAGAGTCCCACGCAGCCCAGGCTGCCACGGTGAACAGGGCAGTGCGTGGGGTTGGACAGACCTACGGGGGCTGTGGGCACATCTCAGCACCCTGGGCTCTGCAGGCTGCAGGGGCTCCCCAGCGACGTGCACGGGTGCTGCCTGACCACATCCTGCCAACCAGCCCGGGCAGAGCCCAGTGCCTGCTACATCAGAGCCCTCACCTCCCTGGGGGGCTGGCAGCCCGGAGGAGCTGCGGGGAGGGCTCTGGGACGTGCGTGACCAGGGGATGGCACAGCTCACACTGGGCCTGGTGGGGTCCAGCCTTGCAGGTCTGCAGCCTTGGGAGCCTCTGAGCACCTCTGTACGCACATCCGGGTGGCTCCTGGGCTGCCCAGCTCCTGGGCCGAGTGGGGGGACAGCAGTGCCCACACCAGATTTGTGGGGGAGGAACGGGTGCTCCTTCTGCCCCCAGGCTGCAGAGAGGCTCTGGGGACCCAAAGATCGGGAGCAGCTGAGACCCCGGCGGGAGCCCGCAGTGTGGGTTGGGCGTGGGGCCTGGTGGGCAAGAGCTCGTGAGCTGCTGCCACACTGACCTCAGCTTCTCTTCCAGGGCTGTGTCTGGGGTGGACGCTGAGCCCGACTTGGTCCACATGGAGACCCAGGACCTCAATGGAGGTAAGGGGGGCACAGGTGACCCCGTGTGTCCTGCGTGCCCTGTGCCTGCTCTCATCCTCGGTGATGGCCTGGCATGGTGACCTTGCTGTGTCATGATGTGGCATGATTTTAAATGCGCTTGTTTCCCGCTGGGGACAAATTGAAGTCAAGGAGCTCCGCTCTAGTGGAAAGCCCTAGTAAGAAGGGAATTTGTTCCGGCCCAGAGCACGGGCATCCCCGCCCACTGGCCCCAGAGTGGGAGGCAGCGTGGGGACCCTGGCTTCCTTTAGGTGGCAGAGGCTGTGTGCATGTGACAGAAAGGCTCCTGTGGCCCCATGGGGAGGAGCATGGGGTGCTCCAGAGCCATGGAAGGTTCTGGAATGTCAGAATGAGAGGACTACAAATTGAGCCTCCATGCAGCAAAGTTCTGGGAGGGAGAGTCCAGTGCTGACCCTGCAAGGGATGCAGAGAGGACTAGAAGGGACCCCAGGCCCTGACCTGGGGGTGTGGGGCCCCAGTGGGTCCAGGGTGAGTGCCTTGGTTTCCCCATCTGTAAATCAGGGAGAAGAAACTGTCAGCCTGGCAGGGGTCACTATGGCTTCTGTCCCTGTGACCAGGAGAACAGCTTAGAGCAGGTCTGGGAGCCAGGGTTACGAGGTCTCAGGACCGCTGGACCCATGGCCACAGTGCCCCCTGCCTGCCTCCAGGGCTGCCACCACATCTAAACGTGCCAGGCTGCCTGAGGGCAGCACAGGGCTCTGGGCAGCAGCGGGTGGTCGTGGGCTGTGCCATCCTGGCCACCCACCTGGAGGAAGGCGCGTGAAGGACCCCCATCCTGGCAGGGAGGTGTGGGGTGCGATGGCGGCAAACGTCCCAGCTCCCACAGGCAGAACGACCCCTGTGTGACGGCCGGAGGGGTGATAGCACTGCCAAGGGGCGGGCGGTGCCAGGGCTGTGCCCTCCCTCCTCTGTCCGTCTGGCACAGTGAGCCTGGGACAGGACGGTGGGGAGCGAAGGGGTAGAGGGGGGCAGCATGTGCGGGAGAGACGGGCAGTGAGTGGGTGAGTGGAGGGCAGGCTGACGGAGGATGGCAGCCCGAGCCCAGCTCCAAGCCCCTCCACCAGGCAAAGCCCCTCGGGAAGACCCTGGTGGGGGCGGCTGTGCGAGGCCACTGGGAAGGGAGGGGAGGACGTGGCAGGGTCTGGACCACGGCGGAGCCCTTGTACCTGGTCCTGCCCAGCCCTTCCCCAGCCCATCCTGTTACAGAGGGCTGGGGAGGAGGCTGAGCACCTTGGTGGAGGCCAGTGTGACGTGGGGACCCAGCCTCCCCATGCCCCGCAGCCCCGGCCCACCCCATGCCACTCTGGGCCCAGCCCACACTTTCCTGGCCTCTACCCATCCCTGCCCCTGAGAAGGAGTCGGGAAAAGGGGCTCGGGCCCGGCCTTAGTACCTAGAATACTTAGCCGGGCCGTGAATGTGAGGCAGGGGCCAAGAACACAGGCCACCTGCTTGGGTGCACCTGCCTGTGCCCGCTCTGGGGCGGGAGCCTGTGGGAGGGCAGGCCCTGGAGGAAGGGCTCAGTGAGGTGCCAGTCGCCCTGACTGCCCTCTGGGGTCTCCAGCGTGCTGCCAGCCCTCCCTGGGGTTCAGGGGCCCCTCCGCGATGTGCCCCCCAGTGGCCTCTGGGCAGGCGGCAGGGTAACTATGAGGCCAGGGCCTTCACCTCCAGACCCACAGAGCTGCCCCAGGGCTTGTGCAGGGCCTGGAGCTTGACCTCCTGTGGCCAGCTCTGCCACTGTCCCCCCACCCAGTGCGGCTGTCCCATGCCGTGTGACCCCACTGCCTCTGCAGGTGTTCGTTATGTCACCTGCCGGATCCACAGCTGTTCCGATGAGATGCTGGTAGCCCCGTTCCCTGGCCCCATTGACCATGGCTCGCTGGCAGTGCAGGACGATTACATCCTCCTCAAGGTGAGCTTGGGAGGGCGGTGTGGCCTTGAGCCCTGGGGAGACAGCACCTTGGGGAGAGATGAAATGGCTGCTCTACGTCCAAGGGCCACTTTGCAGCTCACGGCTGCCCTCCCTACCCACAGCGGCCGCAGGCTCCCCAGGGGCCCATGCCGGAGCCCCCCAGGCACACTGCTGGCTGCCTGGGAACCCCCATCCCCGGGCCCAGCCCAAACCTTATACCCCACTTGATTCCCCAGTGATTGGGACCGCATGGCCTGGCCACCACCCACAGCCCAGCAGCCAGAGAAGGGGACCCTGCTCCCCATGCCCCAGGGTGTAGGGACACAGTGGGTCCCCGACTCAGAAACCCCAGTGAGCATGGCAGCGTCCTGATGGCCCCGTGGGGCGCTCAGCTTGGGCTGTCAGCCTGCTCCGCACCCTGTCTCAGGACTCCACGCCTGGCCTGTGCCAAGGGCCACCCTGGAGGTAGGGGTGGGGACAGCAGGGGTCACAGCTGGTCAGAACAGAACAGCCCCGCACCCCGCAGCCAGGCCCTGCTCCTCCGGGTCGCCCACCTCCACCCCTCAGGCTGTGCCCTCTGTTGCGCTCCACCTCCTGTCCACTCCTCTGTGCCTGTGCCAGACTCCATGCCCATGCCCATGCACCACCCCATGTGGTCAGTGGCCATCGAGATGCCTGTCCTGCCAGCAGCCCTCAGCCCAGGGCCCAGGAGCAGCCCGGTTGCCGCTGGCCTCTGGGGACCTGGGTGAGGGAGGCCTGTGCAAAGACCAGCTCAGAGCCGGTGTGGCCCTGGGGCTGCGGAGGGCTGTATGCGGGCTCAGTTACCAAGATGGGCCGAGGCCTGGGGCGGGCAGGACGGGAGGTCGTCACGGGGAGGATGTGGTGGCCAGGACAATTCATGTCGGGTCTGAGTGTGGACGAAGTTCTGTGCCTTCTCTGGCACCGTTTGTGCCGGGCAGGGAGGCCGTGAGGTGCCGTCAGCCATCCAGGCCTCCCTACCCTGCCTGGGGCTTTTCCGCCCTCCCTGCCTGCTCTTCCCTCTGCATCCTCTCCCTGCACCTGAGGTGCTTACCTGGTACAGGTGGGGCTGAGAGACAGCGGCGCCTCCCCACTGGTGCTAGGGGCTCCGAGCTGCCCCAGCTCGCGGACGTAAGCCCCAGGGAGCCGCACCCTGTTTCTCGGGGCTCAGGGGGTGCAGTGCCCCAAGGTCACACAGGCGCAGTGCGGAGCTGGAATTGGACGCCGGCAGCATCGCCCCTGCCCATGTGCACGAATGCAGAACTGTGCACACGCACAGAGGTGCACACCCATGCGTGCACATGCGTTCACCTCTGTGGGCCCACAGGACACGGGATGCTCATGGTTGCACACTCACGTGCACATGCGGAGACTTGGACCACTGCACACTGTCCCTCTGAGCCCAAGCCTCTCCTGCCCTTTTTCTGTCCCACCCCCTTCACCGGTAGAGTGGACCTGACCAGGTCCATGGGGCATTTGTTGTGGGGTCAGGGAGCTGCCCTGTGATAGGCGTGGCCGGTGCTGGCCACACGGACTGTGCTCAGTGGCTCCTGCCTTTTTTCTACAATGAGGGGTGATGAGGAAGAAATTTAGTTCTAACTTTCTAGAGGAGGGACATTTGGTATGGAGATTTGAAGGATGAATAAGAATCTGTCAGTTTTGGGCAGGACAAGTATAAGCAGAGTAAGGGCATTTTCACTACCTGAGAATAACACATAGTTTTCATGCATGAGAATCTGACAAGAAAGCAATCTCCTTAAAAACGTTTCTCTCCTCGTGCTAGACAACCTCAACAAACCAGACCAAATACTATGTCTCTTATCGTCGCAATGACTTCGTCCTGATGAAGCTGCCCAAGTACGCGCTGCCAAAGGTAGGAGTGTGCCCGCCAGAGGCTGCCCGCCCTTGTGGCAGTAGACTCAGGGTCGCAGGTGCTCAGGCTGCAGGTCAGGAGGGGCAGGGACGGCTGTGACCACGCTGCCCACGGCCGCTCTGCCCTCAGCCTCTGCTCTGTGACTGGGTTGGGGTCGTGTCCTAAGCAAAGGGAGTGGACACCGCGTCGTAGCAGGATTGATGGCTCGTTTGACAGATCCTCCCTCAGGCGGGCATGGCTGGAAGGGGAGCCCAGGCACCGAGTTTTAGGCCTAGGAATTGGGGGTGGGACTGAGGGCTTGGTCTGAGCTCTGACTCCGGCCAGTGAGCGGCCTGGCTGAGCCCCTCTGTCTAGGCATTTGT